CAACTTTTGCATTAAAGTCTCGCCGTATTCGGGTCATATCCTGTTTTGGGATTGTGCTCAGCACTCGCTCCAGTAGGTCGTCAAATGGTCGTGGTTGTCTTCAGTAGCTGCGTGTATGGATACTAGTGAATTATACTATGTACCTTTGCATCTAATACGGCATATGCGCTCATGGGGTTGATCGATATAATCGACGTCACTAGATCTAAATGGACATCAAAGCGGATCCCAAATTAACGGCTTTGACCTCTATTTCCGCTGTTGAACACTACAGATTACAACTTCCTGACCTTCTCGTGGTCAATCATCGTACCTCTTATACTGCCGCGATATCCATACCGATGTCTTCAAGTTTTTCTATCGTTTTTATCGCTGCTGCAGGTGTATGCCAGCTGACAACTGACTGACTCAACAATGCTCGAAATACGCAAAGCAATAACAATATAAGATACGTAGGCGACACTGTGGTTACTGGAGAATACGAAGAACAACTGCAGGCATCGATACACTCTGCACCACCAGAACTCCACATGCGGATGTTCTACATAAAATAAATATTCGCCCTGAGTTCCCATCTAACGCTACACGCGGAATATGACCAATTGCAGCTAATTCTGGCGGGAAGAAAAACGAGGAATAGGAAGGAAAAAGTTTTGGATCCTAACCCCTCAGGATCAGAATAGAGGAGAATTTGCTTCGGTTGTCGCCAACCTCAATAGAGACGGCAACCGAGAGCAGACCGAGAGCTGTTAATCAATCTCTATTATCCACTTTTTTACAAACTTATTTTTGGGTATTTCGCATCAAAAATTTTTGTCTTTAAAAAAGACAGAATTTCCTCACGTCTTTTATTACAGATTGATAAATAGTGCTCCTATTTCGCAATAAGAACGAATTATTTCTCAAAAAGTAATCAAGAACCATCACCTAGAGGGTATCCTGCGACACACTTGGCTCAAGCTGTAAAAAAAATCCAATTAGTAAAGAAATTAATTTGCAAAATTACCTTGACGTTTCGATAGCTATTTTCTGCTATCGTTATCAAAAGAACCTAAATGAACCTAAAAAAGAGTATGTTAATAAATTGTGTAACAATAGTAGGATAATACAGTATATGAAAATTCGCTCTGATAATTCGTCT